TAAATCCTCTCTCATATTAACTAATGGGCTTGTCACATAATATTACTTGTGAAATTTATTTTTAGAAGCTATAGTTATAAATAATTATTTTTATATGAAAGTTTGCAAGATAACCTAATACAAATACAGGTACAAGGTAAATATATATATAATATATTTTATTTAGTTATTTGCTTCCATTTTCTTAGATCAAGAGACCAACAGGAGTGAAGTCACAAAAAGAATCACAAATAGTAGAGGTGGTTAATATGTTATTAAAGAAAAAACACTTTAGTGGAAGTACTAATCAGACTTCCTCTTTATTCACTTTCCAAAAAAAAAACACAAAAAAAACCTGATGATTTTGGTGCAGCTCTGAGAAATGGATGGCCTCCAAGCACCAGAGAGCATAGTGGGAGGTTTTTAACAAGGTTCAGCTTCAAGTGTAGTCTTTGCCAGCTCTTTAATTCACCGAGTTGCGCTCAGTGTGACCGTCTGGCGAGGTAATTGAGCTGAAATTACTTTTATACAAGTCTGCATGCATGAAAAGACATGTTACTGGTGGATTACCTTATACTGTTTCAGATTAGAATTTGTTCAGGGGAAATTAAACCTCTATATTTCTTACTTTATTCAGTGACGCAAACCTTAAATACTTTTGGATAATATCCCAGTTTTAATTGTTTACAAAGCAGTCAGCTTTAGTAAGTCCTAGAATTTCTGAAATCTCTTTAACAAATAGCATTCAACATACAATATGACATTATTTTTATGATCTCAAGTCTCTCTAGTAAACTGTGAAGGGCAACTGTTTGTCTTCTTATTTAGACTCCCACAAAAGAATCCTAATTTTTCTACCCCAAAGGACGACGTTGGTCCAGACTATGACGCGACTCTCTGCAGGTTTGATTTTTAGATGAGTGTAAGCAGCAACTATTAATCATCTGTAGTCTGTGATCTATTTGGCACTTTTCTCGTACCCACTTAAATCCATGTGAACCACACAAGGGCTGTAACATACCCACAAATGTAATCGTATAGTTTATTTAACCATGTGCGTGTGGCCCACACACTCTTGCTGGCTAGCTCTTATATGTGGGTGTCATTTTTTAAGGCAATTGATGACAAACAGCATTCATGCAAAGAGTTTATTTATGAATCAGACTACAGTATCATACAACAGTAGCACAATCATGACTATGGATTATGCTCATATTTATAGATACAAAGATAAAGGCATGTGTTAAAGAAAGAAATGAATGAGTTTTCTTTTTTCTTTTACTCTAAAAATAGCTTTTAAATACTTGGCATAGTTTCATAAATTAAATTATCAAACTTAATGTTTTGCCCACACTGTTTTTACTATTGGAATACCAAATGCAAATATACTTTATGAAAACCTTTTTTTTTTCTCCCCCCTCTCTCTTGCATTTCATGCGAGGAAGAAAAAAAGACGTCCGTATGTACAAAAAGCACTTAAATCTCATATGAAAATATAAAATATTACAAGTGTGCATAATTTCTTCATGTTGCACATAACCTGCAGTACAAAGAGTCAAATGTTCAAGTGTACCTGACATGCCAATTATTCTGGAGCATATGTACTGAAATAGCTTTTTAGATGTTGTTAGGGGCAGTTTTCACCTGGGACCAAGGCCAAGCCTTTTGACCCTTGTAAATGGTTTAAAAATGGGATGTTAGTAATTATGGGCGTGTCAGCTTGTCCTCAATGTAATGCTGACGATAATGGGGTTTTTAACTTTTTTTTTTTTTAATAATCATGGTTTTAAATTGTTCCATTAGAAGTTTCACAGCTTTGATTCCATGTTCCTACAGATAAACAGCATGAAGAGCGGAGACTATCCGGAATGCTACTGTACCTCTCCGGTGAGGGATAGCACAACAGCAAGTTGTAAAAAACCTAAGGTATGAACAGTGCTTAGCACGTTAATATTTGGCATTGCCTGGAGTATAACGTAATGTACACATTTAATAAGGCGGCATGATCAAGATTTACAAGAAATGGTTGAAATGCTAGGACAAAGTTCTGAGTTGATCAAATGCTACAGCTGTTAAATGCTACACATTAGGTGAGTGATTAAACAGACCTGTTGTTGACACATTAAAACCAATGCAAAGCTGCTATTTGGGGGGGAAATCCGTGTAGCGGCAAAGTTGTATTTTTATTTCATTTTAATGTTTCATTATGTAAATCCTTTCAATTTCGAACTTATCAAAAGACCCTGTTATTTAAAAAGTCATACTTCTTTGCGGCTACATGGTTCTCAGTCAATAATAGCATGCTACATTGTATCTTTTAGTGCAATTAGCGTGCGTGACAGCAGAAAAATATGCACAAAAAGGAACATGTTGTAAAACAGTCGGAAAAGGTAACAAAAGGAAAATAGTATCAATTTTATTTCAAGACATTCAATCATAACTTAAACAGAAAATGACACGTAAAAATGAAAGACAACAAGGTCCACGTCTAAGAAATGGATGTAGCCATTACACTCAAAGTCTAGTTGTAGGCTGGTTTCAATTGGATGTCAATCAATTTACAAAATGAGGGAATTCAAATGAGATCACCTACATGTACTGGATGTCAGAAAACATTTTCCCTAAGATCTTGTTGAGTAAAACACAATGTCAAATTTACAAATCCTAAAAAAACCCTGCTTAAGTACAACTTGGACAACTTAAAGTCCGTCCGTAAACCTAGACTGTGCTGCTAGTTTGTTAATTTGCTGCTGTGGCTTGCTAGCCATGTCTGGTTAGCAAGCAAGCTTAAAAGTTAATTCATCTGAAACTATTAATTCGGACTCAGGAGTTCGACGGAACCCTGAATCCAAGGTAGTTCTGTTCATTGACTATTAAAAGACCCTGTGTCTGTGCAAAGGGAGAGTAACTACTTCTTCACATTGGCACATTTTGGCACAAATGGCAGTTGCCAAAAAGATAACAGAAGTCATATCCAAGGTGAACTTTGTGTATGGGTTCCGGTGGCATGAGAAATCTTTAAATGTCTTCAGACGTCGAGTGAATTGTGTACATTTGTCATCATGTGACATTTGAAATAGTTACAACCGTCATAGCTACTTCCATTTCTTATAATCAGAACATGAACATGTAATATCTGATCAGCAAATTAGAAATAAAGGCAGGTGAGCTAATGTCTTAAACATCACAAGGTGTTTTTCAACAGTGGCTCCGTTAGCGAATGAAAAAGCACAAATAGGAAATCATGGCACTACCAAAAGGTTTCCATCCTGTCATCACTTGCAACGATAAACCCTTCCGCTCACTAACGATGAACTGTGTGATCAAGGCACACCGCCGGGTCATCCCTTCTTTAATCTCTCTCAGGTTTTTAAAGCACTAGAAAATTATGTTCAGTCTCGCTATGATACTATACAGATGTGTGATAACTTTTCTGCTTGATATAAGCATGGAGAAATAAAAAAATCATGGTTGAATACAAAATATCTCTTAAAATATTTAAAATATACTTTATTTTGTACATTATGCAAACTCATTAACAATTTGATGATAAGAAAAATAAATATTCCGTGAAATGTCCTCTTTTGCTTACAGATGTATGAACATATATATATATATATATGTTCGTACATCATGAAGTAAACACCCTCCCCATGTAAAGCCCCCATATACCCTGACACGATTCCATATCCCTGTAGTTTAATTGGAGTGACATGTTTACATCGACCACTTCTTGACCACAGTTCCTACACAACTTTCCACTGAGCTGTTTTTACAGCGGTATTGCTCTATGGATCCGCCCCCTGCGCCCCGCCCCCCTTTATATCCACCAATAACACTTCATCAAAGTTGCCGACCACCATTTTTCAATTCAATTTTTTGCCTTTATTGCTTCCTGAAATTACCTGGAACGGAGTTTGATAAATCAGATTAGGCCACATTGATCAGGCAGATCACCCAAGACTTTCACCTGATCGTTCAAGGATTAACACAATCTGGAATAGAAGACCTTTCTCCCCTTCAAGTGTAGAATCACTGTGTCAAATAACAGGTCACCGATCTATGTCATGTCGTATGGTAAAGAGTCGCTCTTCACTGAAGAGCTTCATATCTTGTGGTTATGGGTGCTGTGTGTACAAAAGCAATGAAACAGGATTCAGTGTTACTCATTTAAAAAAAGAATCTCATCTGGAAATCAAAACAGTTCTTGAGCCAAAGACAGTGATCCAGTTCAGTTCTAGTACGGCCAGTGCCGCTTCTTAACAATCAAAAACGCAGTTTATTTTGGTGTATGTCTAAGCTAGGTTAAACATAAATGCTTACATTCATATCCTTAACGTCTCGCCTGTAAACAAACATACTTGTTCCGAATGCAAAAAGATGTCGCAGTTATGTTTACTATGGACATTTAAACAGTTCTATTATGCGGGACGATTGCATAATGTATGCCAATGAGAAAAAGCATAAGAAGTAGAGGATCAAAAGGACAAGCCGCTACGAGAATACTAACAAGGAGAAACCCTACGAGAGGATGCAGTTGGGGGGCGGTGGGGTAGTAGTGGGGAGTTGAGTTTGGGAAGGCTGGGGAAGGGTTTAGGGTGGAAGTTGCCCCCAACAAATTAAAGGGGCACCTCCCTTTGGCAGTGGAACAGCACTCTTAGAAGTCAACGCAGCGCCAAGGGTGAGGATGTAGACAATGCTCTTGTCGGACAAGAAGGCCATTTCAGTATCAAAATGAGATGAAGGCATTCTAGTAGGCAGCCAGGTCACAGTGTTGGAGCTAATAACCTCAGATAAGATGACGATGGTCGTAGAAGTCCTACAATGTCTTCATCCGGCTGGCATCACAGAGTTCTGAGGCAGGAGAAGACAAAGGCTCATTTAGGTGAGGGCTATAAAAGCCAAGTTAGTCCAAAGACGGGATAACAAAAACCTGATATTTTTCAAATGTAGCTCAAAAACAGATTAAGGAAAGCCAAAAGAAAAAAGACACAGAAAAACAGATTAAGGAAAGCCAAAAGAAAAATGACACAGAAAGAAGCTGAACTCAAGGTGAACTGTAGTTGTTTGTTTGATAAAATATTCTCAAATGTTTTAGAAGGCCAGTAGTTATTTACTCCCTTTCAGCAGTGGCACAGACTGATGGAGATGACAGATAACAGTGGCTATGAATACATTTTTGAACAAACAACAATTTAATTCCATTGAAAGTGTCAATCTTACCTGATAAAGATGACTTTGTCTCACTTTGTAACACTGTCTCTTTGGAGACCTGCTGTGAATCGTCCACCTCCAGGTCGTCCTCCTTATGTCTCCGAGGAGTAGCATCGATCTCCTCAACCTGTTCGTCCTTGCCTTCCCCTTCCGCATCACCTTCACCAGAGTCAGTGCTCCTAAAACTGAGGCGCCTCACCCGATACATGACATCCACGTCCCTCATCCAGGCTAGGCGCTCAACCGCAACTCTTCCTGGAGAAATAGCTAGTTTGTTTTGCAATGCCTCAATTCGATTCGGTGGATCCCTCTTTTTTTTCTCCCCCTCCAAGCTTAGAGACAGTCTTCGGTCTAAATTTGGGGGAACTGAAAGTGGCAGTCTATCTGGTGGAAACTCCGGTAACCCTGGGTAGTCACGTCCCAGATGAGCCCGTAAACCAAGTTTATGCTCTGGGACAGCAAAAGGCTTCTTTTTTGTCTCCTCCTTGTCCTCACACGCTGCGTTGTCCTGCACTTCGCTCTCATCTTGAACTTCAGATGACTGCTTGCCTGCACTGGCTTCAGGGGTTGCTCCAACAATGGCTTCTTTTTCTCCTACTTTTACATCCTTTATTACATTCTCACAAACCGTTCCGTCCTCTGTGACCTCAGTATCTGCAGCCACGTCATTGGTTGATATTGTGGATGCACCCTCCTCTGTAGCTTCGTCTGCTGGTACATTTTCAGTAAGATTTACTGCACACAAACTGTCCGAGGTTTCCACCTGAGCATTGTCTGTCTTTTCACCCTCTTCCACATTTTCCTGCATCAAAGAATGCTGTTCTGTCCTTTCGTTATGTACATCAGACCCTGAATGATTTAAACTGGAGTCATTTGACTCCTCTGGTTTAGCATCATCTGCTGGACTTCTTAAAGCAGTACATTGTGGTGGACTACCATTTTGATTGGTTGAACTATCTGAGCTGTTCTCCTCATGTAGTGGAGGCAGTGGGCCCTGTCTCATCTGGTTCTCCATTTCTCTTTTACAAATAGGACACTCCTCTTCTGAGTCCACATTAGCATCTTGCAGAAGCTCTCCATCGTTAGCTAGGCCTGTGGACGATTTACTGACATCCGCCGAGTCTCTGGTCTGACGCAAGGCCTGACATATGTCCTCATAGTCAGGAGGACTCGTGAGTGTTGAGGCATCCTGCATAGGCTGTCTGTCTGCCCACGGCACCTCAGCTGGTGTGGTTTTCATAGTTGGACTGAAATCACAAAGCGGTGTCTCGATGGGCTCATCTGGCAGGTCTAATTTTACTGTCCGGCCATCGTTGCTACGTCTACGAGAGAGGTGTGCAACAACCCTGTATTCTCTGAAACCCGTCTCCCGAGGAGGGACTGGGAGTTCCTCTCGCAGCTGTTTGCTAAAAGTCACTGACTTCGTTGCAGGCCTGGAGAAGGCGCTCTTGACTTCTCTGTATTCTGGGTCGACAGACCAGCTGACTGCACTGCGCCTAAGGCTGCTTGGCTTATTGAGTGGTTCTGATGTCAATCTGATTTTGATACGTTCAGGGATTTGTACAGAACCATTTGGGACTTTTTTGCTGGCAGTACCGAGCTCCAAGATGTCTTTGTAGGCCTCGTTGAGATCCTCTATGCACTTGTCCACACTGGGCTGTTTGTTCCCTTCCTGCTGTTGCTGTTGCTGCTGTTGCTGTTGCTGGAGTTCCTTCTTGATGGCCTCTAACTCTTTCACAGCATCCCATGGTCGCTGGGTGGTTGGTTTTAGAAGGTACTGCTCAAATTCCTCCTCTCCAGTATTTGCTGCTGGTTGGGCCTCCTCTACGTTTCCTGAGGGTGGTTCTGCTGGCGGCTGAGCTGTGCTCTTGTTCAGCTGGTTGGAGAAAGTGGCTGTCAGGGAGAATGCGCTGTTGCTTGACAGTTTCAAACTCTTGACTCCCTTCATGGGGAAGGTATACGCAGTGCCCACTAAACTGCTGCTGTCAGGGGAGTCTGCGGTGTTGGGACGGGTCGGTTCCTGTTGTGCTTCCTTGTTTTCTGAGGCAGTTTTTTGGGCCTCTGGGCTAGTTTGTGTCTCCTGGTCTCGATACTGGTTGGACGGCCAAGATCCTGACAGTTTCAACTCCTTATAATGGTTTATTTTAGGGGGCCTACAGGGTAACTTTTTGAACATTTTGCTGCTCGCTCTACTGCTCGTCTTGCTGCTAGCAAAGCTAGCAGTTAGTACTTGCAGCTCTGCTTCGGCCGAGGATGTGCTTTGGAGGCTTTGGTTTGTTAAGTGGCCAGTTTTATTCTCATTTGGACTGTCCGCTGGGTCTGGCGATTTCTCATTGTTATTATTCTGATCACGGATCATGCCAGTGAGCTGTGGGGTAACAGGAACAGACACCAAACAAAAAATGGTCTCACTAAGTCTCTTTTTCAAATTCTTGGATTTTTCCTTTTCTTGGGGCTCAGGCACCTCCACTTTTTTCGTCTCCGTCACAGTTTCTGAGACAGTCTGATCAGCCGGCTTACATGGGGGAGGCGGTGGTTTACCTAGAATAGATGAAGGCAGAAACTGACCACGGTTCTGTTCAGGAGCCACACTCTCACTCTTTTTGCTCGTCACCCTATTGGACCATCGAAGACTACTACTGTCATTTTCACTGGGAGCTGTTTTACGGGCTTCAGTTTCCTTGAGCAACACCGGTCCTGGGCCCACCTGTCCTGGACCCACCTGTCCTGGGCCCACCTGTCCCGGACCCACCTGTCCCGGGCCCACCTGTCCCGGACCCACCTGTCCCGGGCCCACCTGTCCCCTGTCTCCGG